ACAATCAATTTTTTTTAAAAAAAAAAAAAGTCATTTTTTAACTGGTCTATTGCAGTACATCTTTTTCCTTTCTAACCTTACAACATTGCTTATTTGCTCCTAGTTGTATTTCTATTTTTAATCTAATAGTATTACAGTAAGTAATGCCAAATTTGTCTGGAGTACACTAAAAATATTCATATTTTTAAAATTATTTGTGTTAGACATCTAATGTCAACATTATTACCATTGTGTAAGAGGCTTAATGAAAGAAGACATCTGACCTGATAAATGTGAAAATAACAAAGAAACATTTTTAATAGGAAGTAATTCTGAGCTGCTTATGCTACATCTCTTGTGTGAAGGCGCTCGTTTGACATGCATTCTATTTGTATTTTGCACTCTACTGTGTTTTCAGCCTGTAAGAAATTTATAGATTAATTTTCTCATTAATTATTCCCCAAATTTCCTCTGGAAGTTTTAAGTTCTACCTATGTTACAACATCTAATTATCTCTACTTAGGTTGCATGTGGCCCTGGAAAAACATGTGCCACAGTCACTATAGCAATACAAGGTTGATACACATTTTTTTTGCCAACACATTTAAGCATAAATGCGTGGGATTGAGTTTTCTTTTGAAGTTACATTCACTGCCTGGGTTTTATCTATAGTGCTGTGTGTACCTTCTATCATTTCCTTTTATGTGCTTACGTAAGAGTCAAAATTTAGAAAAATTAGTCCAAGAGAACTAGTGAGACCCATTATGAAGCAAAGAAGAACAGAGATCTGAGGCTCTTCTTGGGAGTATCAGACAGGTAGCGGAAAAAACAAAATAAAAATTGTATTTGAAAGAAGTAACTTCTGTTTGGTTCTGGTTTTATTTGTTTAGTGCCAGTTAATAGGAGTTGTCAGGCTCCAAAAATCACTTTCTGTGAAGATTTAACTTTCCACACATGTTGAAGTTAAAACAGTTTTGGTTGTTTCTTGACCAGTAACTTTAAAAGTATTCCATATCATTTTCTAGATTGTAAATAATGTGTATGTCTGTTTATAGTTTATGACTGTTTCATGCAGGTAGCGATATGGGAAGGTTAGGAGGTGTAGCCGTAGGGGATTGGGTACAGTTTTGGGTACTAACATGACCCAAATATGATCTCCAGTATTTCACTTAGAAAAAAAATCCTGAAAGTAAAGCAATTACATCTCAATTACTTAATTTATTTTGAAAATTGGATATCACTAAGGGTACTGATACTGTATGTGGAATTTTGGCAGGGCTTGTTTTTTGCTACAAAACTTCTGCTTCTATACAGAACTGCTCAGGAAGTTCAAATAAAACTATCATACGATTTTGATTCAAATTCATACTTGAATTTTGTTAGGCACGGCATCACTTTGTTCACAAAATTGTCTTTGCTAACTTCATTAACTCTTGGTTGCTTTTCACTGAATCGTGAAAGGCAGAATGTTTCTGGAGTTTCTAAATGTGTTTGTCTGAAACTTTCTCAGTGAAAGCCCTTGCTTATTGGCAAATTTGTCCATTTTGACTAAAAAAACAAAAACAGAAATCTTCACAAGGGGACCTAATGTCGTTACCACTTGGGAAAAAAATGAAATTTAGAAGTCCTGTAAATATGAATTTGTTTAACGTGAAACAGTGCTGATGTTATTGAGGGAATAAAAGCAAAAGTATCTGGTTTTAACTTGTAGTAAAAAAGCAGTGTGGATTCTGAAATGTTGCATTATTGATTTGTTCTGTAGCTGAATTGTAGAGAAATGCCACCCTGGCTCTTAGTGGAATAAATCCTCAAGTTGGATAAAAGTTGCCTAAGGTTTGCCTGCTGTAGGGTAACTAGTGCTGAGGTTGAGAGACGGGAAACTTCACACTCTTACGTTCACTAAATACACACGTTCTCTGCAACACCCTTCAAATAGCTATATTAACATACTGTGTTGAAAGACTGCATGTGAAGTGGTTTGCTAAAAATTGGTGTTACTGATGCAACGGTGTGCTAATGCTATGGTGCTGTTCTGTGCATTTTCATAAATGATTGGTATATATGGAGTCTTTTAAATGGGATGACATTGAGAAAGATTTAAAAGCTGGTGAATTTAAAAAGTTTTTGGTTATATAATGAGGTTTCTTAAAGTCCACATAAGATTTATGAGAAATGATAGCTCATATTGTCAGGCACTGAAAGACAACAAGCACCAAGTGAAGAAAGTCAGAGCAACATACAGTGTACAAATTTTAGAATTAATACTAAAAATGGATATATGGCCCTCATCTTTTGTTTATTTTATTCCTGTTTAATTTGTTACTCATCTTAACAATTCAAGCATGTACCCAGTATCTCTCTGTGTGCCAGAAAGCTGTCTTGGACTGTAATAATCAATGGGGAGATGTTATTTCTCTGGTGGTCCATGATGCCAGCTTTCTGTTAGGTCCATCAGCATAAAGAGGGTACCCTGTGTTCCACTTACCCTAGCTTTCCAACATGCACTGCTAATTCCTAAAATACCTCGATGCTTTGAAATACAGATTTTTTTTCCTCACTGCTCAGCAAGAGAGGCTGTCTTTTTTTCTTAAATTATATTTAAGTGAGATTATAATTCGATGTGTAGAGAAAGTATTTAGAACATCAAAACCAGGTAACACACATGCTTATAAATGATGCAGGTGAAGATATGAACTGCAGTTCAGCTTTGTGAGACTTTTCTGATTTATTCTTACTGAAGTACAGTTTTTCCTATCTGGATGACTTTGTAGGTCTCCATTGGTAGACCAGCCATATGGATTTCTCTCTTTGTGTGCCATATACCTGAGATTGCAGCTCTCAAATAGAGCTTTCATCTCAGAATTCCTGTCTCAGTAGCCCAGGCTGAAAAAAAAAAATTACAGCCCAAATGCTTCTATGAAGTGGGGTGATGAGTGGCTCTCATCTTTCACTTGCTGTACTTACTCCTGGCTAGAGCAAATGTCTAGCTGTTCGTAAAGTAAGCGTGCTTCTGTTTCTCTTCTCAAGCTAGACAGCATCCTTTGTACTTGCCTGACTATCTAACAGATTCTCGTCTCAAAGACAAGTAAATCTTCTGCTGTTTCTTCTGTTGACTAACAGTGGAAGTGGGAAGTGTGTTACATTGGTTCTTGTATTCTCTCTAACTGTGCAGGTTAACAGACATACATAATACAAATACTGGTTGCTACTATTGACTCTGGATTGAGTAAGACAGGGTAAAACTGTACTTAACCAGTGTGAGGCAAGTGACTTTGAATATTTTTCTGCTTGTTAGAGTCCTCCTGTTGTCTGTCCTAATTTTTTTTTATATGTATTTGCGTGTCTGAAGACAGCTGATTGTTAGGTATGATATTGCATAACTAGTTGAGGTGTATCACCAGGTACAAGGATGGTTTCCTGCTGCTGCTGATTTTAATGGGAAAATAAGAGCTAGGTAAAGAACAAAATACCGTCTTGAATGGTCAAGAATCTTGCATCAAAAAGGCTTGTTTCTTTTTGTGCTAGAGCGTGTGTTGTCTTCTGCTGTACAAATTCAGGAAGGAGGGGACATGGAATAAACTGAATTTTTTCGGTGTGTGTTGAAATTTCAGACGTTCTCACAATTCTAGTTAAATGCCTCTCTTCTTTATGGGATATTGCAGTTTGTGACTCAGTGTTCCCTCCGCTATTAACCTCAGGTAATTCACAATCAATCTGTCGCTGTGATTGCAAGAGGACAGATGAAAACTGTTCATGGCTGCTGTTTTGGTTATGCTGTAAAGCAGCGCTTCAGGACTGTTAAAAAAGGTCTGAAGTGCATTAGCAGTGTTTTGACTTTGATATATACCTTTGAATGGTTTTAAGAGTCATGTTATTGTAAATCTGTTACTACACTTGGGACTCTTAAGTCCTGTACACTGGGCAAATTAGCTACAGATAGTTCATGCAGCCACTGTCCTAGCTGTTTTTTCAGTGTTTCTGTTAGAGCATAATCAACAGAAATGAACACATGCCTGTTCCTTAGTCACTGTTCCTCTGACATGGTAGCAGGAACATGGTGAACAGCAAAAGGAAAGGAGTATTTGAAAGTTTTAGAATAAGGTGGCACAGAGTTTTGAGTTGGAGCATTTAATTTTGGGGAAGAGCAATGTGATTAAAGTTATCTCTGACCAGCATGAGTGAAGAGTTTTTTTATTATAGGAATACAACACACAAGGGCAATTAATTCTTGTATGACATAATGTGGAAATAATAGCAAATAAATGTGCAGACACTGAATGAACTGGACAAAAATAGTTTCGATTTTTCACATCTATGTATAATCAGTAAAACTTGCTGCAAATTACAATTTTTAGTACACAGCTACCCAGAGGTTCCTCATTGCTGCTGGCAGTAGCAAGTCCAGCACACATGCTGTCACCTGAGGGTGCATTTCACTGCTTGGGCACTGTTCTCTTTTTGTAAGAGAGAGCCTCTAACTACATTTTGGGAAGGACAGCAACACTGTTCATTGATTGTGGTGGGAAAGAGAACTTGACAAATACAGTTGTACTTACCTAAAGAAAAAAATATATTTTTAAAAAGCAGTGACTTGAAGAGGTACAAAAATATCTGTATTTCACATCATAAAGAAAACATAGGTGTTGGGTTTTTTTAAAAAACTGTGACTTGAATAGCGATCTGGTGATCTTGATAAAGTGTAATAATATTCTCATCTGTATAAGTGTAATAATGTGATTATGTCAAGAATCTCCACAAAGTGTTGCAATCTGTCGCATGCAGAAGGCATGGTATTGCATTTCTTTGTATTGCAGTAGCTTCTAAAAGTCTGGAATAGAGCCTGAATTTCTAATGTGATACATACTCTCAAACACATAACAAAAGGATTGTTCCAAAATTTTTGTTGCATATAGTGTTAAGCTTTTTTTTTTCCAGGTATCCTAAAAAGAGCTTCTAGTTTTATGGTTGTAACTCACTTTGCCTAATATTCACACTGATTATGATATAAATTTCCTTTGCAGTTTACGTGTGAACTTGGACATGGGTAAGGCAGCCTATGGGTGGATGATTATGAAAGATGACAATATTCCTGGAACGGTTGTTCGAACTAGCACCATACCAGAAGAGTTGGGACGATTAGTTTATTTGCTAACGGATAAAACAGGTATATCAGGTTACGATTCTGAAATATGACTTGTGTAAAATTTCTGATCTTTATTCTATATTTGAATATGTTAATATAAGAATAGATTTAGACTGCTGATTTTTATTTTTCAGTAAAACTTTAAGCATGTGTTTGAGGACTTTATGCCACTACCAGTAGGCTTAGGTGGGCTGGTACTTACACGTGAAAGTCAGTATTTGGTAGTAATCTGGTTTCTTCCGGTGGGAACACTCCTGCTACAGTAACGGGACACTGGATAGCATTAGTAAGAGTACCATATATCTTACTCTGAGAAGACTCCGTATTAGCACTCGGGATGCTATTTTAGTCTGCACCTCACTTCTACTGCAATATTGTATGGTAGTTAAGAATGACCTTCAAGAGAGCAAGTCATTTCCAAAAGAAATCGTAAGATCAGCCTGCAAAATGACATCTGGTATCCCCATGAGGTTAGTTGCTCTTTATGTTACAAAGACCAGTTCTAGAGCTGCTCTATGATTTCATCATCATAACAGTGACCTGTTACTATACCTGACCTGGTGTACTGTAAAACCTAACCCTCACCTGGACCAGAAAGTAGGTAAGTGTGTAAAGAAGTCATAGCTTGCGCTATGCTGCTGTCTGCCATTACGACTGAAACTTGTTACAATCTTACCATGCTCTTAGTTCTAGATGTATTTAAGGAATCTTAAAGTTTATTTTAGAAAATACCATAATAAGTAACAAGTTAAATTCTGTAGGAAATACAGTATTTCTTCTCTTTTTTTGGTTCTTTCTGAGATTGAATAAATTAGTTCTGGTAGACATACTAGGTTTTTTAAGAGACTAAACTTTTGAACAGAGAAAGTTGTTTCTCAAACAACTGAAGAAATTTAGTGGTTTTAAGTAAAATATAGTTCAAAATGATGAGAAAGCATTTGGGGGTGGGGAGGGCAGGGGTTGGCCTCTGTAATGCTGTTCAGAAAGCATAATACACAATTTACATCTCTTTCTGCGTGAAACAGTTCCATGTTCCCTCCCTTTCTGAACACTTCCATTACTACATATATTGAAATGAAATGTAGGTTTAATATATTGTCACATTTTCAATACACACTTTCTTTTTTTTCTTTCTGTAGGTACGTATGTTACCCTATACAATTCTGAATGCTGTTCTTCTGTTTCATAAAAGATAATGACAACTGCCACCTTCTTTCTTAGCATGTAGAAAAGTGTATTGCTAATTACAGTGTGGTAATTCTTCAAAGCAAGTGAAAAATTCTTCTTTTAACAAGTTTTATTTCAGTTAGCTAATGATTTGTATGCTATTTGAAACTGCTTATTGATTTTAATTGCACCCTTCATCACAATAATTTATGTAACTTTAAGAGCGGTGTCGCATCCGAAGGCTTGAAATATGTAATTTACAGCATATGTTTGGAAAGAGGGAAGTATGTTCAAAAATAATGAATTTCAAAACAATGCAGTAGAGTTCATTCACCCAAAGCACTACTTTGTAAGCAAAACCAATGTGTACTTCTTAAACTTTTCTGATAGAGAATCTAGTTGCCATACTGAACTGGAAATGCAGTTCAAGTGTTGAGGTATTCTGCTTACAGTTAGACTGCACTGAAAATTTTAAGAGGCTTGCTAAATAAAATGCAAACAGTTCATTCACGCAGCTCTACAATGCAGGAATTATATTCTGACTCTGGTGACCGGTTTATATTCTGAGGCACAAGGATCAGTGTACTAGCTTCTTTTCCTCAAGCTGTATATACCTACTACTCTGAGAAAGAGAAGATTGTTTGAAAAAGAAAAAAAGAAAAAAAAAAAGACGCTGCAATTCTGTTTCTAGAAAGGCAACCAATACACTTAACCTTAATACAACAGTAATTTGAAAACAAAATTTTTGTCCTTAAAAAAAATAATAAATTTTTTTTGGCAACGTAAAATTTAGTGATACTGGGGTTTTCAAGGCAAAAATACTGTGTTACGTCTGTAAAGCTTTGAAAGGATGCGTTTTATTGACTTGCATGTACAAAGAGAAAGAACCCTGGTTTGCTTCTAATCGTTTTTTTTGGTTTTTTTCAACCCACATCGTGCCACTTGCAGTCACAGTAGTTCTGTTTAATTTTAAGAAGCACTACTTGCATTCTGGCCTTTCAGAGTGCATACTTAAAAGGGGTTAAATAGACAAATGTTAAAAGGCTTTTACTAGCAAATGTGTTTATATATAGTTTGGAAGATTGCTAGCATTCAACCTCAAAGGCTTTTCAGAGCAGTGAAGTCTCCTGAGTTCTGGAGGAAGGTCTGAATCTGTAAGTTAATGATGTAAAAATGAAAATAAAAGCAGTATTCTAAGGCAGGAGTTCCAAAATGTTTTGGACTACCAGCCAGCAGTTTCACTCTGTGGGCTTTTATCCAAGTGTTAGCTGAAAACTGATGTAAGTGAAAATAAGCCTGAAGTCCAGCAGACGTCACCAGCTTCAGAACACTGATGGTGTTCTTGCAGACCACACTCTTCAGATCGTGATGGGAAATGCTGCTCAATTTTATTCGTCTTAAATGCCCTGCAAGTTTTAAACTGTTTTAATTCTGGACAAACATGTAGCCAAGGTACCTTATACCGGAGTATATCGGTAACTGCTTCCAGTTTCCTTTCCTGAATACATTTGGTCTCATTCTGCATTTTATCATAAATGTGAAACATACTGTTAGGTAATGAACAGAATCTGTACAGTTAATCCATGATTGCCATATCATGATTATACACTCTTCATGAGAGCTGGCTTCAGTACATTCTCGCTTGATTTTTCAGTGTTAGTTATATAAACCAGTTGATTCTGTTCTTCTGCCCGCTGAAGACTTGGCTGTCAGAGAAGAAAGAGATCCAGTTTTGTAGCCGTCTGTCCAAGTGGGTGCTACTAAAAAGCAGGACTAAAAGACTGGTCTAGTTAAATGTAAACAGGTGAAGTTTTTCTCAATATTGAAAATGAAAGGGAATCCAGAGAACCGTCTGCAAAAGTCTTGTATTGTGGTCCAAGCTTCACTGGAAATGATTGAGAATTAGTTGTTGAGTCTAAGGAGCATTGCATTACTAACATAATTGCAAGGTAGTCCTTTGTATGATTGTAAATTGGGTTTGTGCTTCATCAATAAGCTTTTTGACAAGAAGCGTCCATCACAGTGGCTCTCTCATTTGCCACAGTAGAATAGAAAATGAAGTATTCCAATAATTGCATTATAGTTTCCTTATTGTGGGACAAGAAAGCAATGTGGTATAATTAGGTTTGATTGGAGTGCATGTTTCCGGTAAGATCTGAAATTAATGATGTTGCTATAGTGACACATCTGCGGCCACCAGTGCGTGAAACATAAAGTAATTCATTCGACAAGAGAAGACATCTGTTAACTGCAAGGATGCAGAGCATATTGACACTGACCAGAAATACTAGACGTTATGTGATAAATGAACAAATGATGCTGAAACAGGAGGACAGATAATTTGTACTTAATCTGCTGGGAGAACTTTAATCTTCTCACTGGTTGCATTTGACAATGCCATTGTTTAAAGAACAATGCTGCAGAGAACTCATAAATTTTAAAACTTAACTCAGGGTGCAGCCTATTAAAGCAATACATTAATTCCTTTGTTAGGGAGTTTTTATCTTCATGTAGAACAAAGCCATTACTAAAAACACCCACTAAAACAACAGGTTTTTTAGGACTCACATTTTAATTATAGCATCCATTACCCAAAATGCCATGTTGTTTGGACTTGAATCACATATAAGTTTGACAGAAAGGCGTCATCCATTATGGCGGCGAGGGGGGCAGTTACTGGCGGGAGTGGTTTCCAGCATTTTCCAAGGGCAGCTGAGCATGATATCTCATCCTCTCCAAGGGCATAAAAAGATTCTGATCACGAAAGAAAAATAAAGATATTTGGCAATATTTATTGAACGTTTTTGTTGCTTAGGATGGCAAACCTTCTGTCATTCGCAACAACTACCAGAGTATTCAGCTAAAACAAACGTGTACAGTCTTCCATGCATACACTTGTATTTGAGTTCTGTAATTAACATTTTAGCGGGTGTTTGGACCAAATGAGATACTTAACAGATATAATAGTTGAACAGATGCATAGAGCAATGGGATTCTTGATTTTCTGGGAAAGCCTTGTGTTAAGAGGTTGGTGTATATGGGCTTTTTCATTAAACGTACCTAATGTAATGTACTATTAGAATAGTGAATTTCAGTAATTGTTTCTGAAAATTAATCTTTTAAGGTATGCTTTAATTGAGTCTTTATTTGTTCAACATAAGGTACCACAGAGAAAGTGATTAAAAAAAATGCTGATGAAATAACATCTCCTCACTTCACTTTGGTGGATATATATTGATGCTATTGCCCTTACACTTCCTCTACCTCTCTGATTTTTGGTACTGCTAAGGTTGCAGGGTGAGTAGAGCAAACTAGGAATGGAAAGTTTTGATGGAAAGATCCTATGGGAAGCTTCCAGGCATGCACTCAAAGGAGTCCTTATTTTGTGGCTTCTGTTGGACTCCTATTGACTGAAAGTGCACGGTGTATCCAATGAGTACAGATGTTGTTCCTAGGTATTGCGATCATTCTTGTGGGAGGCAGAAGGCACAGAGGAAGTAGCTACTGCTATTCATAACTGTGTTAACTGTTACCTTCTGCCCAGGAAAGAATAAACACATCTCAGCTCTCTTTGTCTTTGCCCTCATTCTCAATGAGTTGTACTGGGGTTTGTTTGGTTTGAGGTTTTGTGGTGGTTATGTTTATGGCCTGTTCGTAAGCTTGAGTGAGCAGACATATTCTATATACGTGTCTTACCATGAGTTTTTCCATTTTATTTTCTATACCAGGTTATATTTTTTGCCAGGGCTCATAGAAAGAATTTGCATCTCCAAATTGTCACCAACAGTTTAATTATTAAGAGCATTAGGCCCGATCTCCCTTAAAGTTTCCATAGAAATGCTCACATTTACATGGACTTTTTATCTTATTTTTTAAGCAAATGGCTCGAGCAAAGTACTCGTATTTTATGGAAAGTTACTCACCCTCTCTATTTCTCACAAAGTTATTAATTATTCTGCTGTACATATTTTCTTGCTTTTTTGTTTTGGCCTTTTTAGATTGTTGGTATTGGTCCAAATTACCATCTAGTAATATAGGATCAGAAAGATCTGCATCTGCTTCTCAAAAACAAAATAAAAATACTCTACTGCTCTGTTGTGAATCACATCTGTTGCCACCCAGGGAATGATGCCTTCAGGACTTTTTCCTTAGAAATTAATTTCCTCTTTGCCTGCTTTACTCTGTGTTTAATGATACGGGGCGGGGGGGGGGGAAGGCTATTGGCTTCATTAAAGAACATACACAATTGCTGAAGAAAAATTTAGCACTAACTTTTTGTCAGGATATTTTCCTTGTGTGGTACCTGCATTCCAGAGCAAAGTTTAAGAATGTATAATAGTAGTTGTAGTTCATACATTGACTAGCATAATTTCTGGAAGCTTTTCTAAAATAAGCTTTTTTTCATCTAATTAATCTTCATATTAGCAATGTCCTGAAAGTGTGGAATTGATAAGTAGGTCTTGAAAAAGGTCTTGAAAAATAGAGAACTCTTTCACTGTTCTTTAGTACTTAATCACCTTGAGCAGACTAGAGAGCTCAATTGTTTTTCATTCCTAAAGTGGGCTATATTAGAAAATCTACCTCTAGATATTTGAAGAGTTTGGGGCAGAAAGTAAAAGATGTGTTGTTTTATCAAAGTGTATTGGTCTTCACTAAAAGACTAAAATTTAAGACAGAACTGCTGCTGAAGTTATAACATGGCTGGTTAGCACTGTGTAATATTTGGAACAAGTTTGTTGGGAATGTTTCTGTGCTGTTTCGGTGTTTCATTCATTAGGAGAGTTTAGAAGTAAATTCTTAATTTGCACATGTGGTGAAACTAAACTTCCATGTGGATGACTGAAAAAGGTGGGTTTTGTTTTATTTTTTGCAGAAATTTTTGGGACCAGTTTCATAAATGCAGCTACCCATGTTTGTCTAATAACACTTCAGGTTTATTGTGACTATTGTTGAAAGCCGTACACTAGTCTTAAGCATGAGCAAACTGGAATTGTTGTTTCTTTTCTTTCTTTTTTCGTTTTTTAATTCTTTTTTATTACAATTTTGTGTAGCAGGTAGAAGTCTTTTCATATATCATAGATGTTTCCTATTACTGTAGTTGTTAAAAAGGATTGTATAAGTAACATATAAGATGCAAGTATTGAATCAGGATTGCCAGAATGTTTATTTCCATGTCTTTACAAGCTGATTCTTTTTCCTTGCCTGTTTTTCCTAAACCTCCTGCCCTGGCTCCTGATTGTTGCAAGACAGGAAAATCTGTATTCTGCTCAGAAGCTTTTCTTCTCTGCTTGCTGAGAAGGAG